GGAGAAAACAGTCATATAAGCAGGAATCAGGGTGAGGTAGGATATCATATTTGCGAGGATCGTGCTAGGAGGCATGGGTAGAAAAGGAGGAGGAGGAGGAGGAGAGAACAGCAAGAGAGAGAATGAAGAGAAGATGTAAAAGAGAGGATAAAGATAATAAATCAATAATATAAAAAACACTATTATAGATAAAGCACACATGTCACAAACAACAGAGATAGAAAACTCATGTCAAACTCACACATTAAAAACACCAGTTGTAGATAATTTAAGAAAACACCGAATTGCCAAACAGACTGTATACCGGATTTGTGAAGAGGATTACTAATCCTTCTTTGAAGACAGCAGATATTATAAACAAATATTTCTCCTACAGAGGAATGAAATAATCTGGCTACTGCGAGCTCTGAGTTTATAAAGACTAGCACCACCCAGGAATGTGATCACATAGAAAACTAGGTGGACTGAACACACCTTGGCAAAGGGAAATACAGACACGGAACAGACAGCTTCGGTTCATATAGCATCAGTCCAGACAGCTTCAGTACAGACTTAGTAAAGACAGACACAATAGAGAAAGATTCAATAAAGACATAATCAGAACAGCCAGACTCAGTACAGATTGTGTGTTTGTGATCAGGTCAGTTTGTGTGAGGGATGACTAGGTGTTTATGGGTGTACGTGAGGAGTGAGATTACGTTCAGAGTCAGTTGGGAGAAGCTGTTGTCTGTGGTCAATGTTTGTTGGTCATGGTCGACGTCAATTGGCTAAAGTTTGCACCTGCTTTTGTTAGCAAATTTTCACTCCAAATGCTCATTTTAATGCCTCGTGGAGTCTTCAAGATCTCATGCATTAGTTTAAAGTCAAGTACATTAGCTATGGTTTCATGCATTACCTGAGATCACATGTATTAGCTTAGGTCACATGTATTGATTAAGGTGTTTTGTAATAGCTAAAATAACATGCTTAACCTAAGGTCATATGTATTATCTAAGGTCACATGTATTATCTAAGGTCACATGTATTATCTAAGGTCACATGTATTAGCTAAGGTCAAATGTTTTATCTAAGGTCACGTGTATTATCTAAGGTCACATGTATTAGCTAAGGTCACATGTATTATCTAAGGTCTTATGTATTAACAAAGTTCACACGCACTACACAATGTTATTTGCAAGTATTAACGCTTAATATTTCTCGGCCACAACTGGTTAGGTCAGCAGGCTTTGACCTCCAGATCTCAAGGTCAACAAAGCTCGCCGAAGCCCTCATATAAAACCCCCCTCGAAGCCACAAGGTCCTCAATATGAAGCTCAAGAGACGAGCCAACTGTGGAAACCTGTTGAATACGAAGCCTCGGGGAAGTAAGCCTTAGATGAGAGAGAGAGTGAGAGAGAGTCAAGAGATAATATAAGTTAATATGCATTTTCAACTGAACTCAGCTGCTGTGCAAAAACACTTGGCAGATCGGCTGGTATATGAAAATAATTATCCGTTTATCTGATATAACAAAATACTTGACACGATGGAGAAGCAAGTCTCGCCGAGTCCCTCACAAGGTCCAGTGAGAGGCCACCGGAAACAGTCAAAAGTTAGAGAAAGATAGACTGATAGATACAGAGTCTGAGACGTAGAAACAAAGACACAGACGAAGATGGACAGAGAGAGAATCATGCGTGAATCATCAGCTTACGCAAGATTCAGAGAGGTGGAATCGACCCTGCGTCCGTCGAAGCCCCAGTGGAAGAACACCAGGAGTGTGCTGCCTCGCCGCCCACGGAGAACGTCGCCCGACTCCTCAAGGTAAGGACGAAGTCTGTAAGTCCCACCCCAATAGAAAATAACTTAATTAACTGAGGTAACTAGCTCAGAACTTAGAGTGAAGCAGAGGATGCAGGTTACAGGCGAGAAGGGTCTGGGTTGCAACACTAATAACCTGACTGATCCATCTGCTTCCACATATTTGACTTGTCCAAACCACACACTAGAAAGTGAAGGGACGACGACTTTTCGGTCCATCCTGGACCGTTCTCAAGTCGATTGTGATTGAGACCATTCTCAATCACAATCGATTCTAGAATGGTCCAGGACGGACCGAAACGTCGTCGTCCCTTCACTTTCTTGAGTGTGGTTTGGTCAACATATTTCAGCCACGTTATTGTGACTCCTCGTTCGCACATTTGACTTAAAAGGTTCCTACACCTTGCACCGGCAAGATAACGTAAACTCGAGGGTCGTAACGATACGATACGATAACGTAACGATAACGAGGGTCGTAAGATGTTAATCCCTTGTTTTGAAGTCTGTTCACTTGAGACAATTCAGCAAGTCCCAGCTGCATCTGGGTGTCAGTGAGAGGATGAACAACCCAGCGGGTTTTCTTCCTATTGGGGAGTGTTGTACATGCTGCTATGGCGGTGTGTCCACTCACAGGATGAGTGGCGCTGCCCAATACTGTCACTATGGCGGTGTGTCCACTCACAAGATGAGTGGCGCTGCCCAATACTGTCACTATGGCGGTGTGTCCACTCACAAGATGAGTGGCGCTGACCAATACTGTCACTATGGCGGTGTGTGTGGCGCGGCGCTAAAAAACTAGCTCTCCTGGGCAATTTAATTACAACTCTCCGGCTGGTGTTGAGACCAGTCCGGCAAGACTGGTCAAGACTAGAGATGAGTCTCTTGCATGGTTCTCCACCTTCTAAGAATTTCTGATGAATGGTGAGGGTGCAGGCAGTCCAGGAGAAAGGAGGGGTTTAAAGGGAATTGAAGTGTTCACTTCGAATGGTATGAGTTAAAGGATAATGGGGGTTTAAAAAGGAGGGAGAGGTTTAAAGGGAATGAGGTACATAGAAACAGAAGGAAGGAAATGAAATGGGTTAGTTTGATTCATGTTAGAGAGAGAGAGAGAGAGAGAGAGAGAGAGAGAGAGAGAGAGAGAGAGAGAGAGAGAGAGAGAGAGAGAGAGAGAGAGAGAGAGAGAGAGAGAGAGAGGGGGGGGGGGAGGGAGGGAGGGAGGAGGGGGGGGGAGAAGGAAAACATAGATGATAGAAAACGTCACTTCTCCGATAACTTAAATAAACTTTGTAACGAACGTGTTTTCAGCCTGTGTCCCATAGTGCTGGTGACATTCTATCGTTGCCAACATACAGTCGACCCACTATACTGAGAGGTCCACAGTATCTCATTTTCTTAGTTATTTACCTTTCCACCTTGATGATCAATTAGGAGGCCTGACGTCCGAGTGGACAGCGCTCGGGGTTCGTAGTTTTCTAAGGATCCGGCTTCGATCCTCGACGGAGACAGAAACAAAATGGCAAAGGTTTTTCATCCTGATGCTCCTGTTCACCTAGCATTAAATAGGTACCTGGGTGCTAGACAGCTGCTACGGGCTGTTTCCTGGGGATGTGTGTGTGTGAAAATTAGGATTAAGGACTTGTCCGAAACGCTATGCGTGCTAGTGGCTTTACAAGAATGTAAGAACTCTTGTATATATAAATAAAATTAAAAATAAATAGTTCATGTCTACAACAACGGCTCCATTGAAGGTAATTTTGGTTTTCCTTCCTGTGAGATAGTTTTCACTCCACTTCAGGAGTCTCCACCCTGACGCCCATATATGAAAACTCGTCCAGGATCACAATCTCTTGTGTCATTAAAAGATCCTTTGATGTCAACAAACACAGAGTGCATTTGGCTGTGTCATTGGCTAAATGATTTTCTATGCAATTAGCTATGCTCTTCCCTTTAACAAATCCTCTCAGAGACTGATAATCTTGTAATTACCACAATCTTTGTGAACTTTGGTGGACTTTATGTTGTCTTATACCTTAAACTGTTATGTTTAAGGCAAATGTTACCAGAGCACCTCATTTGGCCCAAATTCATGAACAACCGGAAGTTGGCACCCATAACATAAGACGCTCAGCCATCAACAGCTTTTTGCTGCCAATGTCTTTCTCAGGAACTTCGCTCCACCAATAATCATCCATTCCTATAGGCTAACTCGCATCTGGAATTTGTTTCCTCATTACACTGATACGCATGAAATTAAGTTAACCGGCTTTGAGTTGATTAAGTTGAGGGACTTTGACACACAGTTGGCTACTGGCTCATCATGTTCCTTACATGAGAGATTCTTAATATTAACGACATGTCCTGGGTTCGATCCCAGGCGCCGGCGAGAAACAATGGGCAGAGTTTCTTTCACCCTATACCCCTGTTACCTAGCAGTAAAATAGGTATATGGGTGTTAGCCAGCTGTCACGGGCTGCTTCCTGGGGGTGGAAACCTGGTCGAGGACCGGGCCGCGGGGACACTAAAGCCCCGAAATCATCTCAAGATAACGTTAATTTATTCCTAATACAGTAGATACAAATAATAACCTTATCAGATAAATTACTTTTTATGGCAGGTTTCAGATGAGCGGAGGTAGGATAACAGCTCTTGCTTGCAGTTTCACCAAGTGCATCAATGACATTTAGTTTGAATACCTAGCCACAGCTTAACCCAAGAGAGAGAGAGAGAGAGAGAGAGAGAGAGAGAGAGAGAGAGAGAGAGAGAGAGAGAGAGAGAGAGAGAGAGAGAGAGAGAGAGAGAGAGAGAGAGAGAGAGAGAGAGAGAGAGGCAGACAGACAGAGAGCGACAGAGTGAGAGAAGTTTTTTGCAATGTTTAGTTAAATTATCCCAATATTATCGACATGTCTGGCTTGTGGGAAGCACGACCCTGCGACTCAAGTGAGCACTTACTAGCAAGTTGCAGGAGAACTGAACTTAATAACAAAGACTTAAGAGTGGCACAAAGTAACCGGACAAAAAATATATATAACATTTTCCCCCCTTATCAACTAATTGTCAATACAGTCGCTGTTAAACTATAGATATCTGGCATGATGGAGGTAGATCGAGTACGGCCGACTGTTGACAGGCAAGAACACGCTCTGTGTATCCTTATCAGATATGTTATCGTCTCGGGGAACCCACCTACTGATACCACACCGCCAAATGTTGGTACTGATACTGGAGGTGCAGGAGGAGGAGCTGGTGGTCGAGAGAGTGGTACTGAGGATTGTGGAGACGGGGTATAGCGGTGCAGTGGGGAGGGGGGAGCAGTGTGGTACTGGTGTGTGAGGTACTGTCCGACAGTGTACAGGGGACGGGTACAGTCCGACTCAATGCTGTGTGTGTAATTACCCGAGTGACTCAGTAGCTGTGTCAGGGAGTGCCACAAGGTGCCTCTCCTCCACTACGCCAAGGAGTGCCACCAGCTGTGATGATCCACATGTGAGTCTAGTGTTCATAACTACTAATTATACAAGATTTCGCTATTAACAGAACCGGAAAGCTAGTTATAGAGTTCAATGACTAGCTAAAGGCTACCAAAAAGAAAAATAGTTCTATGAGCCAAATGCACAGTGACTGAAGGATATTATTAATGTCACACGGATAGAAACAGTGCCACAAAGTAGCTAGTAAAGATACCATAAGGATAGCAAGAACGTCACGAGACTAATGTCTTCTTTTTCCTGGTCGGCGTTCAATCCCCCGACTGTCCAAGTGGTAGGGTACCATTCCTTCCCTCAGTACTATCCCAAATCCACGTCCTCATATCCCTATCACGCGCTATATAGTCGAAATTAGTGCTCTCGCCTGACACGGGAGACCACTTACGGGCTATTCATGCCCGTGCCACCTTTTGGGTGGCTTAATCTTCATCAATCACCTTATCTTACCTTACGTTTGAAATACTCAAGGGAGCCTTCATGTTATTATTACGTGTCTTTGCAGCCTGAGATGGCTGGTGAGGCTGTGGCTGCGGTCTGGGGCCGTGCGCTCCCTCCTCATCGTTGTCTTCTTCTTCTGCTTCACACTACACTTCCTCAGCGTCAGCAAGGTCAGCATAGGTCACGACCCCTTTGACCCCCTCGCCACTCACAGGTTATGTTACTCGGTGTGTGTGTACACAAATGTGAGCTTGCGTATACAACTTTGTTCACTATATATTTAACTGTACACATTTCTCATATATTATATATTAATAAATTAATATCGAACGTAAAAGCAAGCTTTTACGTTCGATAAAAAGATACTTTTACGATAAGGGTGGGGGAGTATCGTAAGATTTACGATACTCCCCCACCCTTCCCCGAGTGACCAGCCTGACACTGACCGTCTCCAGCAGACAGCAGAGACCGCAGCAGACTACGAGGACGACACCTTGGTGAAGACGGCTGACGAGGAGAATATAGAGGTGGAGATGCCACCGGAGGCGGCCAGGTGGAGCGGGAATGAAGGGTCTCCACCTCACTCTGACGACCCCACCCTGGGCCCTCACGGCGACTGGCTCGAGGTAAGACTCACACTCAAACTATATTCTATATTTTACAACAGTAAAATAACATAGTCCCCTACAACAGTAGGGGACTTATCCGCTTGTAAATTATTATTTGCATATATGAAAAGCCTAACGAATATTAACTAGCAAGTGATGTGCAAGAAATTAAAAAGTAAACAATAATAATGAGAAAATCCGTAGGAGCAGTGATGAGGATTCGAACCTATGGGTTGGGTATTCCATCCACGAGAGTTCCTGAGGCTTCCACTCAAACCAAAACAGGGTGTCACACATTTCTTTTCATCTCACATTTCACAGGAATTTCTGTGTATTAAAATAGGAGTGACAGAGGAAGAACATTCCTTGACGACAGAGCCTGAGTGCATGGGGGGGGGAGTTGTGTGAAACCCTGATTTGGCTTCAGGAGAAGCCTCGGGAACCGTCGTGGGTTCAGTAGAACCCCAAGCTGCAATCCTTTTCGCCATATCTTGGCCTAGTTGTCTGAAGTGTGTGCCTGGGAACACTCACCGCGTAGGTTCGAATCCTCATCACGGCTCCTACGGTTTTTCTCATTGATACCTCAAGTTAGTGTGATTTCTCTCTTTGTAATAATAATTGGAGTGCAAAACAAACAAAAATGTCTGTAACTATAAGTTTTTTATAGTTACAGACATTAACTAAGAAGACTTCTGTCTGTCCAAAGATGGAGGCCAGACGCTTGGGTCTTGCCTCACCCAAATTTGCAGGAGGAGAGGGGAATGGTCTGGGGTAAGGGACGGACATAGGCTGGTTGGGGTAGGGCCAAATTAATAAATATTAGTTATTATCCCCACATCTCAGGCCATTTTCTTGAGGTCAACTCTGCAATATTAAATGTGATTATCGTGAAGTTGTAATGATCATAACAAATGCATAAGGAAAATAGGAAAATACAAGAAGAGAACAGCAATGTGAGAGGCACATAGAGTTATTGCAGGGGTTCTCGAGGGGAGGGATGTATCAGGAGAAAGCGCGAAGCCACTACGACTATATATATAGCACTTGGAAGGGGTCAGGATGATGATTTGGGATGGGACGAGGGGAATGAATGGTGCCAAATCCCTTGGACAGTCGGGGACTGAGCGCCGACCTGCACATACAGCCAAAACAGTCACATATATATTTGGTAAAAAGGCAAAAAATCTTACATAAGAAAACAAGAGATGGAGGAGGAGCGGCGAGCACACCCTGGAGACGCCAGCAAGGAGAGAGAGGGCAGGTTCAGATGCTTCTCACTGATACCAAACTTACACACCAGCTGTCACTCCTCCACCAGACTCACCTCTTTGATAACACTTATCTTCCAAGTTTCTTCAGCGTCGCGTCTCTCTCCGTCCAGCTTGGTGGACAATTTCTCTTAAACGTTGTTATAAATTAAATTACAGTTGTTTGGGTCAATGTTAATTGACCCAAATTGATATATATACATATATATTCTATGGAGTTGTGCTCTGATTGTTGGTCTGGAGTGGCTACTCCAGGGCACAAAGCCAGGGGTAGATAGACACGGGGGGTAGATAGATACGGGGGGAGTAGATAGATACGGGGGGGGGAGGAGAAGCTGTCACCCATGCAGCAGGTCCCCCCTCTCCACGGCGCCGAAAGTCTCTAATGGAAAGGCAAACGCCAGTACTATACTATTAGTTCCAGCGCCGTCGCAGGAACTGTTAGAACGAGATTGGAGGCAACACCGAACTGCCCCAGGGGCTCCAGCTCCGGAGATTACCTTGAAGTTTGTAAAAGAAGGTACAGGGACTCCAAACTCGCAGACCGCCGTGGTCGGGGCCGGAAAAGAACCACCCCAGCAAGGGCAAGAACGACCCCAGCCTCCTGAAGCAGAGCCTGGGGCCGCACGAGCCCCAGGAGGTGGACGGCCCGGTCCCGTACCTACGGGTTCCTGACAGAGATCGTCACAGCCCTCTTTCACCCGAGGCCCGCTCTCTTCATGACCCAGCAGAAGGAAGAGTGATAATTATTGATCAATTGTGGTATTATTACAATAATTATAATTGTTATAATTAATATTTATTACATTATTAATTAATTTCATTATTAGAATCATAATTATAATAATAATTGTTATAATTAATAGTTATTACTCTTCTGCTGGGTGACAGTAACTGATATGTAGCCAGGGGGGGGGGGGAGACGCATATACAGGCAAACCTGGCTAATACCGGGCATCCCTTGCCCCTGCTGGTATATACATATAATTAAGGTGTCCGTGTTTGATTGGCTTGCGACCCCCGACCAGCCAATGGCCGTATCATACCATAGATCAACCATCCAGCTAGATTTTGTGAGGCTAGCCCTGAGCGTCCAGCCCTCTATCTTGAACTGACAAACAAACACACTGTCTTATAGATTAAGATTCACACAAGAAAGGAATCCAAGTCACTTACATAAGGAAATACATTAAAAAAAATCTACCATTTTTAGACAAATTGCATTAATAGAAAAACTGTCTTCTCACATTTTGTATATATATATATATATATATATATATATATATATATATATATATATATATATATATATATATATGTGTGTGTGTGTGTGTGTGTGTGTGTGTGTGTGTGTGTGTGTGTGTGTGTTTGACATTATGTTTATATATATATCTCATAATATCTGTCTCTCCTCCCAGGTGGAAGGCTCGAATCGAAATGTTTTTGTATACTCCGCCTACCTGGATCGCAGAGGAACCCTCAACGTGGTGAGAATAATCGCAATAATCAAGAAGAGGACGAAGGTGAGTTAATATTAGAAGCAAAGGGACTAACAGACAAAAAGAAAGAGATGGAGGCTGAAGAGGAGGAGGAATAGGAGGCGATAATTCTTCCATATCAGTGCTGGGATGGGATGGAGGTAAGGAGGGTGAAGATAAGGGGATGGAGAAAAATAGTTAATACCATGACATGTAGAGAGGGTGCTGTCGCCCTCGGTGTTAATGTCTTCAGTCTTACGAGTGTGTCTGGTGTTGACACAGCTTGTTGGTGAAGCTTTACTGAACACCTGTGGCATAATGTGTCATGGTATGACAGATTGGTCTTATCTGCTAAATCCTGTAAAGGCAGGCATGACACTGATGCATGAACTAAAAAACAGATTATCTCTCTATATTCTACATATTTCAGGAACATAGGACATGGGCTTTGTTCAGAGTTGTGTGTAGACTTAAACAACTATTTGACTGTAAAGATCTCGCGTCCTTTACCTGTGGTCTCTACAGCATTCTACAAGGTTTCTCCCCCTACAGGTGAAGGAGTGTGTGGTGTGGGCAGGCAACAGCACACAGCGCGTGACTGCTAAGAGCCAGAACATCAAGGAAAACTGGAATCTGGCTTACTCTGCCGGCTTCGTCCTGTGTTACCTGACTGACCCCACCACCGTCCCCACCCGCGTCGCTGTCGTCGCCAACGGCGTCGCTGCCGAAGGCTCAAGTCTACCTGTTCAGGACCTCACCATGAGGGAGCCGCAGGGCAATATGAGCGTCTGCGTTAAAGCTTTCCATTATAATTTCGACCGGGCGGTTTGGTTGGTCGAGTTTATAGAATTTTATCGTCTGCTTGGCGCAGATAAATTTATATTTTATAATCACACCATAGGCAGTAACGTCGAAGCCGTCCTCAGATACTACCGAGAGCTGGGCCTGGCCACGGTTCTTCCCTGGTCCTTGCCTGTCGTGACGCAAGTGGAGATCAGAACAGAGGGGATCTTCGCCGCTCTCAATGACTGCAACCTGCGGTCCGTCAACCGCTTCCCCCTGGCCGCCATGGTGGACGTTGACGAGTTCCTCGTCCCCAGGAGACACCCGAGCCTCCTCCACCTCGTCCACTCCTACCGCAGCACCGACCACGCCTTCATCTTCCAGGTGGGTGACCACACGCTTCTCTCAATGTGACACTTTCAGCACAAATATTTTTTTCTTGCAGACGATGAGTCACAATAACGTGGTTGAAGTATGTTGACCAGACCACACACTAGAAGGTGAAGGGACGACGACGTTTCGGTCCGTCCTGGACCATTCTCAAGTCCCCCTATATATATATATATATATATATATATATATATATATATATATATATATATATATATATATATATATATATATATATATATATATATATATATATATATCTTTACAAAGCTAATCATAAATAGCCATACAAAACCACACATACATAGCATTGTGTACCTTTACACACAAGAGGCCCATAATCGTTCAAAGAATTCTGACCCCTAGTTCACTGCTGCCTGAACAGAACGTGTTCTTCTACCTGTACTGGGAGAACGACACAGCCGTCAACGATGTCCTCTTCGGCAACGACCAGGGACTTGGACCCGCGCTCTTCGGCTCCCAGGCCGCCATGCCCTACCTCCTGACGGCCTCCAAGACCCGCAGGCTGGCCAAGCCCCACAAACACGGCGTGCGCTCCAAGTATATTGTGCGCCCGGAGGCGGTCGTCGAGCTCGGCAACCACAATGTGTGGGAATATGTGGGTGAGTGTGGGAATGTGAGCGTGGAAACATGTGTGGGAATGTGTGAGAATGTGCGGGTGAGCTTGGGAATATGTGGATGAGTGTAGGAATGTGTGGGTGAGTGTGGGAGTGTGAGAGAGAGAGAGAGAGAGAGAGAGAGAGAGAGAGAGAGAGAGAGAGAGAGAGAGAGAGAGAGAGAGAGAGAGAGAGAGAGAGAGAGAGAGAGAGAGTGTGTATGCATTATGAATAAACAGATGATTATAGACTTGCGTGGCATATTTGATTGCATATTTTGACGTTTATACTTTTCCAATTCCTTTTCTTATAATATAGTCTAGTGCAATTCTTCTCTGAGAGAGAATGAACATCTTATACATAATTTTGTTGTTCTTTTAGATTCGTTCAACCTTCTTAGGCATGAAAGGCTTTTGCCATTTACTGCTCGATAAAAACAACGTATCTCCAGGTACACAGTCACCCATGAACCCAACGTTGGCATTTGGTCCAGACGAGGTCTGAGTTGCCAGCATGTAAAGGCCTGGCGGTCCACGGAACTGAAACAGTAGTACATAGTTATTTGTTAACCCCTGGAGGGTGAGTTAGAACTGGTAGTACCATAGAGATACGTAAGTACTGGTGAGCTGGTGTGTCCCCAGTACCGGTGAGACCATAAGGTCCCTAGTACCGGTGAGACCATAAGGTCCCCAGTACCGGTGAGACCATAAGGTCCCCAGTACCGGTGAGACCATAAGGTCCCCAGTACCGGTGAGACCATAAGGTCCCCAGTACCGGTGAGACCATAAGGTCCCCAGTACCGGTGAGACCATAAGGTCCCCAGTACCGGTGAGACCATAAGGTCCCTAGTACCGGTGAGACCATAAGGTCCCCAGTACCGGTGAGACCATAAGGTCCCCAGTACCGGTGAGACCATAAGGTCCCCAGTACCGGTGAGACCATAAGGTCCCCAGTACCGGTGAGACCATAAGGTCCCTAGTACCGGTGAGACCATAAGGTCCCCAGTACCGGTGAGACCATAAGGTCCCCAGTACCGGTGAGACCATAAGGTCCCCAGTACCGGTGAGGCCATAAGGTCCCCAGTACCGGTGAGACAAGACCGGTTAAGGCTTCACCATTAAGACTCTCCCTCCAACTCGCAGGTACACAACCACAGATAAAGTCCACAAAAGGGAGGGAAAAGTTCATAGGAAGAACGAGTACAGCGAGAAGCGGGTATGGGGCGGGTACAAGGCGAGTCACAAGCGGGTATGGGGCGGGCTCCTACACTACACCTAGACAAAGCCAGACAAAAGGTGAGGTATCAACACCACTACAGTGTTGAGTGAATGTTGCATGAGCTTGCTTGCAGCTTGCATAACTCAACCTCAACATGCTATCAACTAGAGCAAGTCAGTGGAAGCACAAGTTATCAGTAACTAACGCTAGTCAGTGAAAACCAATTACACAAGTCGTTCGATAACTACAGGACAGATGTTAGGTTATTACACCCAGTTGAGGAGAATGATGTTGTTTGGTGTCAGCCCTACAGCTTGAGCGAGTGACAGGGGGTACAGGAATACAGAACAAGAGGTTCAGGAGTACAGTACAGTGCAGTAGTACTGGGAAGCAAGGCTCAACACTCTGCCTTGCATTATAGGTTACTATGGCTCCGATTGCACAGAGGATATTTCACTAGCGTAATATTTGCAAGTTCTAGAAGTACATTAAGCTTGTGCTTGTATTAGATATGCCAGTGATTGTATAGTTAAAGAAATCGATGCACAGTGATTACATGTTTTGGGAACTATATATACTCACTGAGTGTATGGTTAGAGAATAAGATATACCCATAGAATGTATAGTTAGAGGGTGGTTCTAACTATACTTATTCCAGTGGTTGCATGGTTAAAGAAACAGATGTACAGTGATTGCATGGTTAGGGAACATATACCCCATCGAATATATAATTAGAAACTTAAGACACACATAGCTTACATCTCTAAACAACCAGATCTACACAATCACAGCTTGGTTGGAAAACCTATTCGTCATTGCACAGATAAATAACTAGAAATGAACACTGATTGCATAGCTATCCATCTGCAAGTGCATGGTTCTTGCATGCGTATTGGTTGTTTCTTTGTAAAATGTTATCCTTAAGGCAAATATTTTATATAAAATGTATGTTATTTCATTACTTTCTAAATGTCAAAGTTCTCTGCATGTTTGACAACAATGAGTAAAAGAATATACAAAGCCGGGCAGCAACTGAATTTACAAAACACTAATATAATGCTTGAATATTATTTAGAAGAAAAAAACGGAAGTCTCCTTTTGTCTGAAGTATTCTTATGCAAAGGTACACTAATTTATTCAATAACTCACAGTTTGAACAAGCGCTTTCAACAGCAAATCAGTAAACAATGACATCATGACAAACAATTGCAAAAACAGTAACAACAACAATAATATTAATTATCAGTAGGAACCATTATGAGGATTCGAACCCGCACACTTGGTACACCCAAGCACACACCCTGGACCACTACACTATGACATGGTCAAAAGCACTGTAACCTGGGATTCCACTGAATCCTCTAGGGGCCCCCTGAGGCTTCCAACTGAAGCCCAATCAGGCGTTTCCACGTATTGCCCCCCCCCCCCATGCTTTCTGACTTTATGTCCAGTTCTACCTCCTGGACCATAAAGCCTTTCATAAAGCACTCTTCATTGGCTTTAACATGTCGTGGTGTAGTGGTCTAGGGCGTCTGCTTGAGAGTACCCGGAACATAGGTTCGAATCCTCTTCGTGGCTCCTACTGATTTTCTCAATGATAATAATAATACCAGTTCAGATATCAAGAACATGTAGGTTCCCGGCCGTCAAGGAAACAAATTATCCGTGGCCATGATTTGCCTCGTTAATATGTGTGTGTAATATATGTGTGTAATATATATGGTCAACATGTGAGCATGACTTCTCCCGCAGGTGTTAGGAGAGCCAGGCCGATTCCAGCCGATGTTGGGCTCTCACACCACTACAGGATCTGCGAGTTCGGTGGCTTCGATTGTCTTAAGCAGTCCAACTTGGTAAGAGATAGAGAGAGGTTGATGTTAATGCTATCAGTAGAACCATACCGTTGGTTAAAAACAGGAGAGATATCGAAATGTTTTTAATTTTTCCCCCCGTGCAGGTGGACCGGACTGCACACAACTGGCTGGAGCCCCTCTACACACACGTGGCCAGCGCCTGCACGCATATATTCCCCTCGCTAGGAATGTGTCCGGCAGCGCCACCCTTGGGCTCCCCATGGTAGCCTCCTGCTCTCAGCGACCCTTACAAACATGTGCCTTCAACACTATCCCAACACACACTGTGATCCTCCTATTTTGACCAAATAGTTCTAACTAGTCTGCAAAGTACAGGCCTATAGTCCTTAAACAGGCCTACCTGCGTGATCGGCCGTGAAGACTGTGTGGGTGTGCTTCATGTCGATCATTCTAGTCAGCTAACGTCTGATTTTCAAGTCTTCCACGGCGGTGGCGGGTGTGTTAACTGGGCCCCACTGTCAGCCACTTATCGTTGAACCTACCGGCAGACTGAGTGAAGATCACGTCAACTTGTTTACAGCAGTGAGTGAGGATGGTTGCGTCCTTAGTGCAAAACTTTTAGTGTCTTATCGTGTGTGAGCGGTGAAAACGGCACATCAGTTACACATACAAACAACCGAGAAGCACAATAAGTGTCATCATTAGTGATGAAGTGCATTGCGGTAAGAACTTCGCGACGACGACAACGGGGGGAGGGAACGAACCATGTGAATAATCAGGATGCAGATTTGCCACTGAGGTTCCAGTCGTCAGAGAGAATATTATTTTCATATAAAACCCAAAGAAAACTGTATCATGCTCCAACTTTTGTAATCTTTTGTAATATTGCTAGTCAATTCCAACATCCCAGATAATGTCATACTGATATCTTGGTTTAACATAGGTATAGAATGCTTCCTCTTGATGTCCGGCTTAAGAACGTATGTATTTTGTTGTTACTTGATTGAAATCAGCTTAAAATGTCAAGATTATGAGGGATTGTGAGGGTGACTCTCAATCCCAGCCTTTAACACTCACAGCAGCGATCACGTAACCTCATCTCTAACAGGCCTTAGCTTACCTAGGAAATCTAGTCAGTAGAGTTCTATATTTGGCTCGTCACTCCACAGCGATGTCCTGTGATCACAGTCAGGCTACAGCACCTTAAACAGCATCACAGTCACGCTAACTACCATTGAACTGTCAGAAGGCAAATCAGATGAGTAAATACAAAATATGCCAATATAAACACATTATTCAACATTAAGGTGAGATATAATTGGATTGTATAGTGCGTAATCATTGTTTTAATTGATGAATATGTGCATGCCATTGAACCTAAAATCCATGTAAAAAATATTATAGAAATTGTTTTAGATATTCAAACCTAAGATTGACAATTGGTGTATATTGAAGTGAGCAGCCGCCCATTTAATAACACGTAGAGAAAGAGAAAAATATGATTTTGTAATTGAGAAATTACTCAAGATATATGAAGAGTTTCTGTTAAAATTCCAGAGAAGTAAATACAAAATATTCTGGTGACTTATAGATGCAAGAAAGTAGACGGGATGGATTTATAAGGCTGAAATTAAAATATATATTCTTTTGTACTTTATGACATAATTTCTGCTCCAGAATGAAAGAGGTGAGAGTTAATGCGAAGAGAAGAAGTTGAGGGAGGAGATGGAAGTAAGGGGAGATGGGAGGTGAAGAAGGGAAGAGAGAGAGAGAGAGAGAGAGGAGCGGAAGGAAAGAAAGGTGAGAGAAGCAAAAAACAATAACCCCCCCCCCCCAGGGACTGTCTGAAGTTGGGTAGCCAGGATACGTTCAATACGTTCACTTACGACACAAAATGTACTCACAGACTCCAGTACCACAGCCTCTGGGACCCTACACCAAGCCTTAAACAAACACAACCAAAAAGGAACAAGCAGGTTTAATGCAAACAAAAGCCACGCACTTGAAGTAAGGACAAAGAATTGTCCCATGAAGAGGGTAAACAGTCTGGAAATTTAAAAAAAAAATAATGAGTAACATTCTTATTATGTATTAAGATTCTTAAGTATGTACCTAAGGTCATTAGATCTCCAGGGCTTACTGAACATTCAGTAACCAGAAAGTAATCACACTAAAGTGATCAGGGAGCCCTGCTGAGGGCTCGAACCTATGCGGTGAAAAGGTCTAGCGTCGCTAGAAGTGTGTGCGTGGGACCCCCCCCCCCCCCCCGCGGGTTCAAAACCCCCATCACTGTTCCGACGGATTTTCTCCTACTCGTCACCTTCAGTCACGTGCCTCAGGGAGCTGATGAATCAGCCTGATGAATATGTCACACTTTCCGGTACAGATGTTCTACTGCTGCATTCACAAGTGTCAGATCCACACAAATTCATAATATACTGCTTTCAAGCCTTTCAGTGTCTCTGACTTCCTCTGCTATCACGTGAAACGGGTTCGAATCGTGTTAAAGATCTGAGCACCAGAAAAACAAAGACACTATTGTAACGTCGTATTTGAATTTGTTTGGTTAATATAAAACAAATTTTCAAAAAGTTTACTATTATATAGTTTATTTAATGGACGTTAATTAATCAAGTAGATAAAATAATATAAATAAATATTAAGGAATATTGCATAATTTTTTAGCCAAGATATAAGTTTGCTACTGAATACCACAGTAACCGGGGAGCAGAGTTACACAACAGGGGAGCAGAGTTACACAACAGGGGAGCAGAGTAACTCAACAGGGGAGCAGAGTTACACAACAGGGGGAGCAGAATTACACAACAGGGGGAGCAGAATTACACAACAGGGGGAGCAGAATTACACAACAGGGGAGCAGAGTTACTCAACAGGGGAGCAGAGTTACACAACAGGGGGAGCAGAATTACACAACAGGGGAGCAGAGTTACACAACAGGGGAGCAGAGTTACACAACAGGGGGAGCAGAGTTACACAACAGAGGAGCAGAGTTACACAACAGGGGGAGCAGAATTACACAACAGGGGGAGCAGAATTACACAACAGGGGGAGCAGAATTACACAACAGGGGGAGCAGAATTACACAACAGGGGGAGCAGAGTTACACAACAGGGGAGCAGAGTTACACAACAGGGGGAGCAGAATTACACAACAGGGGGAGCAGAATTACACAACAGGGGGAGCAGAATTACACAACAGGGGAGCAGAGTTACTCAACAGGGGAGCAGAGTTACACAACAGGGGGAGCAGAGTTACACAACAGGGGAGCAGAGTTACACAACAGGGGGAGCAGAATTACACAACAGGGGGAGCAGAGTTACACAACAGGGGAGCAGAGTTACACAACAGGGGGAGCAGAATTACACAACAGGGGGAGCAGAGTTACACAACAGGGGAGCAGAGTTACACAACAGGGGAGCAGAGTTACACAACAGGGGAGCAGAGTTACACAACAGGGGGAGCAGAATTACACAACAGGGGGAGCAGAATTACACAACAGGGGGAGCAGAATTACACAACAGGGGGAGCAGAGTTACACAACAGGAGAGCAGAGTTACACAACAGGGGAGCAGAGTTACACAACAGGGGAGCAGAGTTACACAACAGGGGAGCAGAGTTACACAACAGGGGGAGCAGAGTTACACAACAGGGGAGCAGAGTTACACAACAGGGGAGCAGAGTTACACAACAGGAGAGCAGAGTTACACAACAGGAGAGCAGAGTTACACAACAGGGGGAGCAGAATTACACAACAGGGAAGCAGAGTTACACAACAGGGGAGCAGAGTTACACAACAGGGGAGCAGAGTTACACAACAGAGGAGCAGAGTTACATAACAGAGGAGCAGAGTTACACAACAGGGGAGCAGAGTTACATAACAGAGGAGCAGAGTTACACAACAGGGGAGCAGAGTTACACAACAGGGGAGCAGAGTTACATAACAGAGGAGCAGAGTTACACAACAGGGGAGCAGAGTTGCGCAACAGAGGAGCAGAGTTACACAACAGGGGAGCAGAGTTACACAACAGAGGAGCAAAGTTACACAACAGGGGAGCAGAGTTACACAACAGGGGAGCAGAGTTACACAACAGGGGAGCAGAGTTACACAACAGGGGAGCAGAGTTACACAACAGGGGAGCAGAGTTACACAACAGGAGAGCAGAGTTGCGCAACAGAGGAGCAGAGTTACACAACAGGGGAGCAGAGTTACACAACAGGGGAGCAGAGTTACACAACAGGAGAGCAGAGTTACACAACAGGAGAGCAGAGTTACACAACAGGGGAGCAGAGTTACACAACAGGGGAGCAGAGTTACACAACAGGGGAGCAGAGTTACACAACAGAGGAGCAGAGCTACACAACAGGGGAGCAGAGTTACACAACAGGGGAGCAGAGTTACACAACAGGAGAGCAGAGTTACACAACAGGGGAGCAGAGTTACACAACAGGGGAGCAGAGTTACACAACAGGGGAGCAGAGTTACACAACAGGGGAGCAGAGTTACACAACAGGGGAGCAGAGTTACACAACAGGGGAGCAGAGTTACACAACAGGGGAGCAGAGTTACACAACAGGGGAGCAGAGTTACACAACAGGGGAGCAGAGTTACACAACAGGGGAGCAGAGTTACACAACAGGGGAGCAGAGTTACACAACAGGGGAGCAAAGTTACACAACAGGGGAGCAGAGTTACACAACAGGGGAGCAGAGTTACACAACAGGGGAGCAGAGTTACACAACAGGGGAGCAGAGTTACACAACAGGGGAGCAGAGTTACACAACAGGGGAACAGAATTACACAACAGGGGAGCAAAGTTACACAAGATAATTAATACAGAATTAGTATCATATATTACAGTTTTACAATATTTAGCTGCACATTTAGCTGCACATTTCATTATTATTGTTCAGTAATTTGAATCAATTGGTAATTAATAATAAATTATACTTTGTGGGTGATAGATTTGTGAAAGTGTTTTTTCAACCATAGAAAACACGAACATTAATATAGAAATATAAGGAAAAGTGACAATATATATATATATATATATATATATATATATATATATATATATATATATATATATATATATATATATATATATATATATATATATATATATATATATATATATATATTAGTATATTTTGGTAGCAGTCTTTCCTGTAGACATATTTTATTAAATATGACCGAAAAAGTAAGATTAATAATTCTAACACGAATTTTCTCAATCTTTCGTACATTATGCTTCACTGTTGGAGGTAAATCAAAAATCACTTCTCCAAAATTCATTTTTATTTCTAGTCTGACGCGACACGGGCGCGTTTCGTAAAACTTATTACATAAGAACATAAGAACAAAGGTAACTGCAGAAGGCCTATTGGCCCATACGAGGCAGCTCCTATTCTATAACCACCCAATCCCACTCATATACTTGTCCAACCCGTGCTTGAAACAATCGAGGGACCCCACCTCCACAATGTTACGCGGCAATTGGTTCCACAAATCAACAACCCTGTTACTGAACCAGTATTTACCCAAGTCTTTCCTAAATCTAAACTTATCCAATTTATATCCATTGTTTCGTGTTCTGTCCTGTGTTGATACTTTTAATACCCTATTAATATCCCCCCGGTTATGTCCATTCATCCACTTGTAAACCTCTATCATGTCACCCCTACTCTTCGCCTTTCCAGTGAATGCAACTTAAGCTTTGTTAATCTTTCTTCATATGAAAGATTTCTAATTTGGGGAATTAACTTAGTCATCCTACGCTGGACACGTTCAAGTGAATTTATATCCATTCTATAATATGGCGACCAAAACTGAACTGCATAATCTAAATGGGGCCTAACTATAGCAAGATATAGCTTGAGAACCACACCAGGTGTCTTGTTACTAACGCTGCGATTAATAAATCCAAGTGTCCGATTTGCCTTATTACGAACATTTATGCATTGATCCTTTTGTTTTAAATTCTTACTAATCATAACTCCCAGATCCCTTTCGCAATCCGACTTCGCAATCACAACACCATCTAGCTCGTATCTTGTAACTCTATCATCATTACCTAACCTCAGAACTTTACATTTATCAGCATTAAACTGCATCTGCCAATCCTTTGACCATTTCAAAACCCTATCTAGATCAACTTGAAGTGATAGTGAGTCCTCCTCCGAATTAATTTCCCTACCGATTTTCGTATCATCGGCAAATTTGCAAATGTTGCTACTCAAACCTGAATCTAAATCATTTATATATATTATAAACAACAGAGGTCCCAGGACAGAGCCTTGAGGCACTCCACTTACAACATTTTCCCACTCTGACTTGATTCCATTTATACTAACTCTCTGTTTCCTTTGGTATAGCCATGCCCTAATCCAGCTTAATATAGCACCCCCAATACCATGAGACTCTATTTTTTTAATCAGTCTTTCATGTGGCACTGTATCAAAAGCTTTGCTAAAGTCAAGGTATACAACATCGCAATCCTTACCACTATCAACTGCCTCAACAATGCTAGAATAAAAAGATAACAAATTTGTTAAACATGAACGGCCATTTATAAAACCATGTTGCGACTCAATTATTAATTTATGTTTTTCAAAGACTTCACAAATACACAACTGATTAGAACTTGCGTTTCCCTGATTTTATATCTACATTTGAGTGAGGTGGGAAGGGTGATGTGGCATTACATTTGAGTGAGGTGGGAAGGATGATGTGGCATTAGAGGATATTAATAGGGTATTAAAAGTATCAACACAAGACAGAACACGAAACAATGGATATTGAATAGAAGTGTTTGTAGAAAGCCTATTGGTCCATATTTCTTGATGCTTCTATATTGGAGCGGAGTCTTGAGGTGGGTAGAATATAGTTGTGCAATAATTGGCTGTTGATTGCTGGTGTTGACTTCTTGATGTGTAGTGCCTCGCAAACGTCAAGCCGCCTGCTACCGCTGTATCTATCGATGATTTCTGTGTTGTTTACTAGGATTTCTCTGGCGATGGTTTGGTTATGGGAAGAGATTATATGTTCCTTAATGGAGCCCTGTTGTTTATGCATCGTTAAACGCCTAGAAAGAGATGTTGTTGTCTTGCCTATATACTGGGTTTTTTGGAGCTTACAGTCCCCAAGTGGGCATTTGAAGGCATAGACGACGTTAGTCTCTTTTAAAGCGTTCTGTTTCGTGTCTGGAGAGTTTCTCATGAGTAGGCTGGCCGTTTTTCTGGTTTTATAGTAAATCGTCAGTTGTATCCTCTGATTTTTGTCTGTAGGGATAACGTTTCTATTAACAATATCTTTCAGGACCCTTTCCTCTGTTTTATGAGCTGTGGAAAAGAAGTTCCTGTAAAATAGTCTAATAGGGGGTAAAGGTGTTGTGTTAGTTAGACAACTAACACAAAGTCAAAGGTAGAGTTCAAATGATTACAAAGATTCTTGTAATTGATTGATGAAGATTAAGCCACCCAAGAGGTGGCACGGGCATGAATAGCCCGTAGCTTTGTAATTATTTGAGTGCACGACATATACCTGAGGATGAGGTGAAAGTGAAGCACCTTATGTCTCCTTTCCTTACAAGGTTGCAAAGGAGAGACATAAGCTGCTAAATTTGCATTATTGTTGTGCAATAAATTACCACCATTTTGCCGCTATATATAATTCCTGATTGTTGGGGACAAGAAGCCTGAACTTGGGCTTACCGAAGTGCCCTTTTGGCTAACTACTGACCTTCCTCAGGTCAGTAGTTAAATGACCACATTTACTCAACCCAAAACAATTGCCCAGCTTTCTTTCGGGGGTGCCTATTTGTCTGGAAGGTGAACAGAGCAAACAGATGAAAGAAAACATATCCAGCTGTTTCTGCCCTGCCTGGAGCTTCAGTCCTGGACCCTTGGTTGTAATTCGAGGGTGTAGACCTCTGTGCTACATATATACATACAAACACAGATCAATCCTCTATCAACGACCACAGACTCGTGAGGACAGCTATTAAAGACAAAATAAAAATAAAATTTATTGTTACACTTAATATGTTCAATTACAATTATTACATTCATGTTGTCATGCTGAGTGATGCTCATTTGATCAACATTCACATAGTACGTCTACACTACTTGGTCACACACGCCTCGTAACACTGTGTTGACCTGAGGCTGGATGGATGCAGACTGTTACACTGGAACCTCAAGGATTCGAACCTTGGCCACCAAGTTATCAGCTCTCGGTATTCACGTCAAAACCACTGTGTAATTACTGCTATTATCTGCTCTCTGTCTAGGGTTAGGTTAGATTAAAGATAGCTTGGGTTAGATTAGATTAAGTTTAGTTGTGCTAAAATAGTATATTATTCTCAAACATGTGAAATGTGAAATTTGAAAACTATATGAGTATCTCCTACAATTTCATTTTTAAGAAAGCCTTTAATTCAGACCGTTTACAAAAATAACTCTAGGCCTTTTATATTTTCAACCATCGATTTATAATAAAATAAAGATATAACCTGAGAATATTCTCTGTTTACGACAAAGGTTCCCTTGCCAGTTTCCAAGTAGGCTATTATTGCAACCGTAATATGCTTTCAGACCATATCACAAATATCTAGATAACTATCCAGGTGGTGTGATAAGGGGTTTCGTGTCATGTTGATGATTAACACTTTACCTGGTAAAGTATTAATAATGTGTTTAAGCATTATGTAACATCTGGACTCTTTGCCAGGCGTGTCTCAGCCAGAGATCTTTACTGAATAAAATACCTCAGTTCACAACGGTGAATAATAAAGACATTTTGAAAATGAATATGTCAAGTTTTTCTGCATTTCAGGTTGAAATGATTATTATTTGCTAATTTTGGGTGTTCTTGGTCACCTGGTCGCTGATATCACAAGCCTGTGAGCTGTCAGCCGGCACTTCTCTAACATAACACTTTACCTCACGCGCGGTAAAACAAATATTAATGAAACAACTATACCACTTAATGGAATAGTTCAATGATAGTAAAGAGCTTAAATGCAGCTAAGTCATAGACACATCATAATAGCAGTGTGGTGGTAGATCAAGAGACCTCACATATAGATCAGTGGTTCATATTAAACAACGTCACAATTAATAATAATTCATTTATATAAAGCAAGTATTTGTGTTAGGACATATAATATATTAGGTATATCAACTATATCGGGTAAATACAATATATATGTATCTATCAAGCAAACTGAGCATGTTGAGAACAGGTGTTTTGAAGGACAGGAAAATATCTGCCAGCTCTGGAGATCTATCACGTGTCGAGCTGATTACACACACACACGCACACACAGGAACCTGTGCACCAGTTGATTGACAGTTGAGAGGCGGGACCAAAGAGCCAAAGCTCAACCCCCGCAAACACAAATAAATGAATACACACACACAATCATATTTAATGATATGCAGCAGATCAAGTAAATGAAAGTTGAAGAACAAGTTGGAGACGTCTTCCGCACCTGCTTGTTGGCGCTTAACCACCTTGACATAGTTTGGGAAGTGGTGTTCATGGCGACTGGTGCTTTTGCCTTGAGTAAATGAAGCCGTCTTGGTGGACTGAGAGAGTGCATGTGCTCTACTGCTGCCATGGTGATGCTGGGATGTGTGTGGTCATGTGGCCCCAGCCACACGTACGCCCAGGACAACGACTGAACGCTGCACGCGGGCGCTCTCAACGTCTCCTGTAGGTCCTCAGTACTGGTAGGTCTCATGTAGGTCCTCAGTACTGGTAGGTCTCATGTAGGTCCTCAGTACTGGTAGGTCTCATGTAGGTCCTCAGTACTGGTAGGTCTCATGTAGGTCCTCAGTACTGGTAGGTCTCCTGTAGCTCCTCAGTACTGGTAGGTCTCCTCGAAGCGCTTGTCTGTGTGGCTTTTGGCCGTGACGGGACTGTAGGCGTTGGAGCCGTCGAGCGGCTGTATGAGCACCGGGTCGTCTGGGTGCACGAAGAACACCACTGAACGCCGAGGTCGCCTTTGCTGCATTTCCTCCTTCGGGATCAACACCCGATGTTCCTGGAAGACGAAGATGAAGGCCATTATAAAGGCTACAGGGATACTCTATTGACCGAGCGTGAGGTGACACTCAGACAACACCCTTGATCACCCATTTTGCTTCCCATTCAGAGTACGAGGAAGACTAAAAACCAGTGCACTAAAACAGAAGCGAAGAAGAAACAGGAAAAAAGAAGGAATCCCCACCTCCATTTAATACTCTGACCCAAATATCAGAGTAGCAAGGTTATCGCCAATAACCGAACTCAATTACGGGCTCTCCATAGCCCGTGCTACATAGGCATTTCGTTCTGAGTAAATCTAAAACAACAACAACAACAGAGTACGAACGTGCGCACTGGTGTCAGAAAGAACGTACCGTGGCGCGCAGTTTATTAGAGGTCCAAAACTGCAGGAGGTCTCCCACGTTGACCAGCACAGTGCCCAGCACAGGGTCGGCGCTCACCCATGAACCCTCGCGGTTTCGAACCTGTTCAAAACAACATGTTTAAGTGATATACCACTTAAGATATGTTTTAATTTGCATAATTAAGGTGGTGTATCTGAGGTGAGAGATTAATTGTGGCTGCCCCCGTCTATTATACGTATCATAGCGAATTTTTAGTAACTTAGATATAATTTATGTGTTGTCAAGTGTCTGGCAAGATTAGTAGTATCGTAGGTTGAGAGCTTCGTAACACAGACTGTGACTGACACGACTCACGTTCAAGAGTCTCATGGGCAACATGGACACAATGTTTCAGTTGACATATTGTTTAAAGATGAGCCTTTCCTTTCCACAGTCTAATGCACGAAACTTGGGTTATTGCTAGTGCATAACCCATACAGCACAACTATGGCACCGTGTCGTATTGTTGAACCACGTCCAGTCACGTCCTACAACACACCTGCTCCACTTCACGTCCAGTCACGCACCACAACACACCTGCCCCACCCCACGTCCAGTCACGCACCACAACACACCTGCCCCACCCCACGTCCAGTCACGCACCACAACACACCCGCCTACCTCTAGGCCTCCCATGTTATCCTGAAAGAGGAGGGTGACGGTGCCGTAATCAGTGTGAGCGCCGCAGCGGGTGGCCCCCTCACACACGCTAGGGGGCACTGGCGGGTAGTAAAGCAGACGCAGACACGTGGCGTTGTTGTCGCTGCACATCTGCTGGTGGGTCGACACGAAGTATGATCGATCCAGATCTGCAGAACACCGCACGTTAAGCTGAGCGAAGGTGTCAAAGGTGAACATGACGCCTTCGTGAGAGAAAACGAGACCTTCCATCACAACTGGGTCACTAAACGAGGCTGTGAAATCCCCATCCCTCTCCCACCAGCCTCGGATATATGACCATGCTAGTTTAGACAGAATATCAACACAGGTATAGAGTCACTCTCTCACCACAACTGTTGCAACGTGCAAGGACTACTCTGGGCGGGTGAGACATCTCCTTAGTTCTGCTATTCGTTGGGTGAGGATAAAAATAAGAAATTGCTAAGACATTTGAAATAAAAAAACAGGAAAAAACATTATTAATATAACATACGAGGAAGAAATCCTTCTAACTACTCGTAACAAAAGAAAACAATGATACGACAGGCACTAAATATCGCCCAAATGCTACTTTGAAATAGATACAGGTTGGTGCTGGCCTCGACTCAAGGGGGAGACTTGCCTAATCCGATGGCAATGGCGGTGAGCACCCTGGAGGCCAGCTTTTTGCAAGCGGCCACCAGTGCCTGGACCGAGGGCCGCAGCTCGACCACCTCCTCGTCGGGGAACATGCCGTCCACCTCACGCACGTCGTAACTCTCCCTCAGCTCCCGCACGTCTCCCTCAGCGATCAACCTGCCCACAGGAGGAGGAAGACAAGCTTAGTGTAGCTGATGACATGTGCTGTCTGTATACAAGGTTCCTACTAGTTGAATACAAGGTTCATACTAGCTGTACAAGAGGTTCATACTAGCTGTATATCAGTCCCAGATTAACTGCAAATCAGGTTCATGTTAATTGTATATCAAACTCATACTAATTGTATATCAAGCTCACACACTAACTGTATATCTAACTCATGCAAACTATACACAAGGCTTATACTTGCTGAGCAATAGACACGAACTAACTTTGTACCAGGCTTATACTAACTGAAAATTAGAATCATAATAACTGTAAATGAAGATCATGCTAATATATATATATATATATATATATATATATATATATATATATATATATATATATATATATATATATATATATATATATATATATATATAGCCATACAAAATAATGGGATTCTACTTACTGCATACCAAGTTCATACAATTTATACACTTGACACTTACTAACTATACACCAGGCTCATACTAACTATACTGTACACCAGTTAGTATGACTGTATACCAGGCTCAGATTATACACCAGGATCATACTAACTCAACCCATCCTCCTGCTTAGATAGTACTTTTGTAACTCTGTGGACCATACGTAGGCGTCATAGACAATTAAATAGTATAATTTGGTAATTGCTCTAGTAGATATTTGAATTTTATATTTGAAATTGATATTTGAAAAAGTAGAATTTGACACTTTATAGAATTAAAAAATAAATCTAAACCCCCAAACTTTCATATTCCAAGGGCTAGTATAGCACATATTGGAATATTGCAAGCGTATTGGCCTTTGCCTTTCCATTGGATAATTTCAGCATCGTGGAAAGAGGAGGGACGCTGCTGCATGGGTAACAGCTTCTCCATATCAACCTACCCTAGCTTTGCGCCCTGGAAAGGGCACTCCAGCCTCGACAACCAGAGTGCAACTCCATAGTCTCTTGAGACTGCTGGATGCTGTTGTTTAAGATTCAGCTACTGGAAACAAAAAGTTCCAAGTAGCACGGGCTATGGTGAGGCCGTAGTGGACTTACCTGGTACAGGAACGGGGCTGTAACTGCTGCTAGATGCTTACTACTATTTATACAAGGAGAAAGAGGAGGGAAGGGGGTCGTACCTCTCCTGGCCTGGCTCCGTGTACCCCTGTAGTTGGGTCGTTCCGCGCTTGTACCGCATTTTGGTGGCCGAGTCCAGCTCGAAGAACTTTCCCGACCACTTGTTCACCTCGTCTACCTGCCGGGTCAGGATCAGCCTCACTCATGTTGTCAGTGTACACGTGGTTACAGTATGGTGAGTGAAGCGGTCAGTTTCACTCACCATACTGTTTCACTGAAGCGGTGTTTCGCTTCTGGAGCGAAACGAATAATGAGAAAGTTTGTAATATATGATTGTATAGGGTGTTTTAGTGTTGGGGCTTGATACTCACCGAGCGGGTGGAGACGCCGTGGTTACTCAGGTACACGAAGCCAATATCGCCAAAGGCCTTGACAAGACTCTCTCCGACCCGGCGCCATTCATCTTCGCTGGGTTTATCAGGCCCACCAACACCTGCCGAAGGAAATACCTGTAACATCTGTATTGTAATGACGGGGGACGAAAAAATACATGGCAAAATTGTATTATTTTCTTCCTGTCTTAGAGTATACATGCAAACAATATATATATATATATATATATATATATATATATATATATATATATATATATATATATATATATATATATATATATATATATATATATATAAATATATATATATTTTTGAGTTTTCATTCACATATATATATATATATATATATATATATATATATATATATATATATATATATATATATATATAATATAATATAATATATAATATATATATATATAATATATATATTATTGACCCGGCCAGGATTCGAACCCATGCCGTCCAGGATCATCCCTGAACGTACACAGTACTGTGACCACCACACCAATGATCGTCTACACATCGTGCGCATATATTTCGCATGTTTTACTGTATTCTGTAATATTTGTTATTTTTAATGTGTGCTTTGGAATAGTTCTCGTCAGTCTATTTTTGTAAAAAAAAAAATTATTTTGATCAATAGCTTCTAATATTTCTGAGAATTTTTTTTTCAATATATGCTCATATGCTCTTCAGATCGATGAATTCTTCTCAAAACAAGATTGTAGGTGAGATTAAGAGCGCAATAGTCTTGATTAAGTTTAGTTGGATTATGTTGATTGATCAACTGGAAATAACCTTTGTAGCGGACTCGGTGCATAGCCCTACCTGCAGCAAGATAATAGTCTTGGCGTGACAAGAACCTTCTGCAGTCCCGAGACGTAATAGCGTGTCTAGGACTGGTGGTGGGCGCTCGCCACCCGCCTGCACTCTCCTACCTACCCATATCCACGCATGGCAGTTGAGAGGCGGGACCAAAGCTCCAGAGCTCAACCCCCGCAAGCACAACTAGATGAGTATACCGTCGTCTCTATTATCGCGAAGGGGGAATAAGACCTGACCAAAATATTTACCCCCCCCCCTACGTCATCGTCATAAACCTACCTTAACCTAACCTAATCTAATCCCAACATGAGATAACCCTAACCCAGCCAAACCCAACTCAACCCAATCTATCCTAACCTAACTTGACTGAACCTAACCTAACCTAACGAAAATAAGATATAAAATGTTAGCACGTCCTCATAAATAAATGACAAATACTCGTTAATCCGAGCGTCAAACTCCCTGTTTGTTTATGAAAAACTCCATGCACAACATGTTCTCAGAACAGGCTCGTTAAAGCAGCGGCCGTACCCTAAGTCGCATTCATAAATTTATATATATATATATATATATATATATATATATATATATATATATATATATATATATATATATATATATATATTTACGGAATTGAACATTATAGTTCTATGTATAGCTAGGCGAGGGTTAGGTGTTTAGGTTCTGTTGGCAATTATTTGTTTTTGTAGTACGTGGGTGAAGCATTTACAGCGTTGTGGTTCGAACAAATGTTGTCAACGAAGCACTGTTCGACAAATATTCGAGCGTCATCCCCTGTGACAGCCCGTCCTCATAAACAAAGTCCCAAGACCATTCCATGCACCCGCCAACCCCCCAGTTTATGAATGAAAAAGGGTTTACATACGACTCTCAGCTAATGACGTTCGAACACTTCCGGAACAAGTGCTTCACTGACGACTTTTGGTCGAACCACAACGCTGTAAATGTTTCACCCACGTACTACAAATACAAATAATCGCCAACAGAACCTAAATACCTAATCTAACCAAAGAAATGCCTAAATATGCACAGTATGCTAACATATAAAAATATTAACTATATACGAGAAAATTCTTATTTAGAATAATAGCACGTTAAAATGGATGAATGCGTCTTTGAGGTCGACCGCTTGATGGAATGGAACCCAAGTCCATTCCATCCAGCGGTCGACCCCAAAGATCCTTCAGCAGCCGGTGTGGGAGGCAGGCAGGCGTGACCAAGACACCCCCGCTACTGGTGTGTACTGAAGCCAGAGGAAAATGAGTTAAGCAAATTGTGTAATATACGAGGCGGCTATGTGTCACTCGCATACGTAAGAACATAAGAACAAAGGCAACTGCAGAACGCCTATTGGCCCATACGAGGCAGCTCCTATTTATAACCACCCAATCCCACTCATATACATGTCCAACCCACGCTTGAAACAATCGAGGGACCCCACATCCACCACGTTACGTGGCTAAAAACTGTAAAAATACGGTTAAAAACAGACAGTTTGCACACAAAAAGGAAATCTGAGAGTGTGACGTTGAGGTACAAGGCTTATTACTAGTGTAGCATCAGGTCACTAGATCTACCTGGCCTCTGCTTCCCACCAGGTGGATGGAGTAGAGTGAGTTGTAAACTCATAATTATTCCCCCATTCCCTAAAACTCCCCCCCCCCCCCCCTCTCTCTCTCTCTCTCTCTCTCTCTCTCTCTCTCTCTCTCTCTCTCTCTCTCTCTCTCTCTCTCTCTCTCTCTCTCTCTCTCTCTCTCTCTCTCTCTCTCATACTACATCAGCTCATTCCAAGCCTCTCCTTCTAAACTTTAAACTAAAGAACTAAACTCTACTCCCCCGCAGACCTTGATAGGTAAGCGTTGATAGGCAAGTGCAAGGGGTCACCACCACGCACAACAATAATAAGAAAGTCTCACCCAACTCCCCAAGGTCAACCACTGGGATGTCAGCAGTCTTCTCTCGCTGCTCCAAGTCCTTCATCACACTTCAGGTCCCCTTCAAGCAGTAAGACAGGTGCTACTTCTGGTAGAACTCGTTCCACGATCTTACGCCGTTCGCAAGTCCTTGGAAGACTCTGCACACTCTCTGAAATGAACGTAGAGTCCTTAAACTTGCCTCAAGTAGTTGGTTGTTCATTGTAGTCTTTCTCAGGATTGGCCAAGATTATGTATGTACGAGGGTCTCATAAGATGTTTGCTAAGAGGGTCTGGCATAAGCATGCACATCTTAAGACCCAGCATAAAGAGAACAGATAAAAACGTGCTGGACACACTTTGTTTAAAGCTTTGACTTCCTCTGACACGCACCTCACTTGCGAAATATTTTTGTTTTAGATTTATGTATATGACAACTATATTTTGTATATATACATGTCAAGCTTGAATACAATAATCGGCCTTTTTTCTCCCATTGTCATCTATTCTTCCTCTTGCTTGTGCGTTAATTAATTGAACTGGTGTTTTTCAGGCATATACAGGGAGTAAAAGCAAGGGGAAAATCCTTATAAGTCCAGATTTATAAAGCCGAGTTTAACAGCTTCATCATTATTATTGCCTGATTTGTATTGGTATGAGAGAGGGGCTTCACCCCTCCAATAAGGACAGATTCATGTCGCGCATGATAGGAAGGCTTAAGCACGATAGGTTAAGCTATCTTAATTATGAATGAAAAACCTATCGTGCAGGTTATCAAGGAACTCGCCCTTAACTTAAGCAGTGCAGCCAACACCAGTGACATCACGTACGTGGATTAATATGGACGGAAACATGTTGCTTAAGCCAAGGAAGAGTAGCTGGGACAGAAAGTGAACAGAAGAGGTGTACGTAGCGTGAGTATGATGTTCAGGGCACCAGGGAATCCAGCTTTGCTAAAGATCCCTCCCCTCTTACCCCTTTGACCCGAAATCTCAATACATATTAGCTCAGATTTCGACAAGTTACCGTTCTGCGAGAAGACAGGAATGTCAACAAGGCAGGAATCGATCAAGCCCCCGTACTTCCTGCACATAATTACAGAACACACCTGGGCTCTGTCACCTGCTGTTGCACAGTGCAAACACCGAACTGTGTCTTGTTTTTCGCCTCGATTATCCTGCCGTTGCATTTAAGTATTGTATTGCAATAAATATATATCTGATGTGTTGTTTAACACGAAAGCGCTCTCAAGTGTTTTCTTGTATAATTTTTCCTTCATGTTATATATATGTGTATATATATATATATATATATATATGTATATATATATATATATATATATATATATATATATATATATATATATATGTATATATATATATACATATATATATATATATGTATATATATATGTATATATATATATATATATATATATATATATAACATATATATATGTTATATATATGTATATATATATATACATATATATATATGTATATATATATGTATATATATATATATATATATATATATATATATATATATATATGTATATACATATATATATATATATATATATATATATATATATATATATATATATATATATATATATATATAAATGAGTGAAACAGTTCACTGAAGGGCTCGAACCAAGGCCACGAAAGTAGGAGACAACCTCTATCCCCCACCCTCTCAACGACAGCACAAAATCATTTGGTGGTGAGACCGACATGCCAGCAGTACTCCGCGACACTGGGTGACAAAGGCCAACCCATAGTTCATCGATCCATTGACAATACTGCGTTCGCGCACAACATTTACCAAAGGGAAAGAATGATAGCTTTGGTATGCAGACGATGAGTCACAATAACGTGAAGATATGATGACCAAACCACACATCAGATGATAGAGACACGACGACGTTTCGGTTCGTCGTGGACCGGCTTGGTGATGGTCCACGACAGGACCGAAACGTCGTCGTTTCTTCACTTTGGTATGTGGTTCGGTCATTATTGCCGCCTGTACCCACTTCTTTTCTCAAAATTGCTTTGATGACGTTGCTTTAAATAACTCGGGAATTTCAGAGTTTGAAGAGCTTTACCTTCCATGGTGGCATTTGTTTGAATAAAAAAGAAAATAATTTTGGAATGTTTTCTCCTGAGCTCTGTTTACAGTGGAGCTCAGGCCGTGGTTGCTTCCCGTTACTTAGCAACAGTAAGAATCTGTTGACAAGAGAATAAAGCAAGGTTATGCAATTCTGTTGCCCTTCAATTCTTCTTAGTTTTTTCCCCTGTAAATGAGAAATTACGATCTTACCAAACACTTCATCTTTCATTTCAATTCTAACAAATAAGAAACTGTTTTCAACGAACATTTCCACCTGCAAAGCCTCAGATATAGGCTTGATCCTGTATAGTGTTGTCAGAGGCTGAAGCACAGTACCCTACAAGACCGGCCACAGGAGCTCAAGGCATACTGACCACCCAACCTACTGACCGCTACAAGTCTCTCACACACTCCCCCCTTTCCACCTCACCTGCATCATCATTTACCTGGCTAACTTCTGGCTACCTGGTTATAGGTTCGCCATCATTCTCGGTCGAGGTAGGATAGCAAGCACACTGTAAGTGGTCCCCATTGGTGGACGAGGTAAATTAGCATTGATTTGTATGGGAATAATTGGGTGGATGTGTGTTCATTGGTATCTACGACGGGGACGATGGGGAGCATGCGCGGAAGGCTCCCAGCCGGCCGGCCGGCCTCACAGGTGATCCTGGAGGCTTATTATAATCTTGAGTTATCGCGGGATGATATATTTAAGGTATTGTGTTATCTTACCATGCGCTTGGTGGAGTACTAACCCTGTCTCTTCCAACCTCCTCGTAAGTCCGTACATACGTTGACTTTTGTAAACAAAAACAAAATTACTGCATCGCTTTTAATGGTAAATCATGCATGATAATCGATCTGTTCTCCCGCATCGGGGCTGCCCTCAGCGTCATGGGTCACGTGACCAGCTGTAGCAGCTTTCAAATCTTTGGTATTTATGATCGAAGCTGAGGTTTGCGTCAAGCTGGCGTCTGGAGACTTCTCCCCAAACAATACATTTAATAATAAAGTGAACATTCCACCACGCGTGACACATCATATTAATGCCGACTGAAATTATCCCTTATTTAACATACAGACTTCCACAGGATACAGTTGTAACTTAATTTTGCATCACTGCGTCGTACCTTGTAATTATATGCCACAACACGTGTCATATATATATATATATATATATATATATATATATATATATATATATATATATATATATATATATATATATATATATATATTTAGGGGTACCACCACTGGTTTAATTAAAGGGACCCACATCCTCGAAGAAGAAAATAAATAGTGTTCAGAGAAGACCTTGTGGATTCTCACTGAATACTTTAATCTTTTCCTCTCCTACCACCCCTATTATTTTTTTTTTATATGGTTTTATTACAATGCTACTGTTTACAGAAACAGCCACACCCACCACAGCCACACCCACCACAGCCACACCCACCACAGCCACACCCACCACAGCCACACCCACCACAGCCACACCCAACACAGCCACACCCACCACAGCCACACCCACCACAGCCACACCCAACACAGCCACACCCACCACAGCCACACCCACCACAGCCACAGCCAACACAGCCACACCCATCACAGCCACACCCAACACAGCCACACCCACCACAGCCACACCCACCACAGCCACACCCAACACAGCCACACCCACCACAGCCACACCCACCACAGCCACACCCAACACAGCCACACCCACCACAGCCACACCCACCACAGCCACACCCAACACAGCCACACCCAACACAGCCACACCCACCACAGCCACACCCAACACAGCCACACCCATCACAGCCACACCCACCACAGCCACAGCCAACACAGCCACACCCATCACAGCCACACCCAACACAGCCACACCCAACACAGCCACACCCACCACAGCCACACCCAACACAGCCACACCCATCACAGCCACACCCACCACAGCCACAGCCAACACAGCCACACCCATCACAGCCACACCCACCACAGCCACAGCCAACACAGCCACACCCATCACAGCCACACCCACCACAGCCACAGCCAACACAGCCACACCCACCACAGCCACACCCATCACAGCCACACCCACCACAGCCACAGCCACACCCAACACAGCCACACCCATCACAGCCACACCCACCACAGCCACAGCCAACACAGCCACACCCACCACAGCCACACCCAACACAGCCACACCCATCACAGCCACACCCACCACAGCCACAGCCAACACAGCCACACCCACCACAGCCACACCCAACACAGCCACACCCATCACAGCCACACCCAACACCGCGCACACCCACCACCGTCACACCCAACACCGCCATAGCTACGCCTAAATATGTAAAGTCTTGAGCCTGAACGAGCTGTCGTCATAAACAACTGGTCACCTATCTTACATTGTTTACATAAACAGTTGTGAGAGCCAGACAGCACAGGAGAGTGGACAGCTGCAGGTGCTGTTTTCCCAGCCTGCTCGTCCTGCTCTCTCACGGACGTCAATAACCACTTCTATGTATAGCGGTTTTCCCACCGACGCTTGTAGGTGTGTTGTGGTTGTTCACGTGGACCATGGAGGTGGAGAGGATGCTGGGGATGGGGCGATGACTTGTGGGTTTTTTGAGGGGTTTGGGTGGACTATATAGGTGGTTGAGGGCGGTAGCTCCTCAGTATAGGCTCTTCTGCTGTACCATCATGACAGGAACGATTCTGCTGGCCATCGCTGCGGCCTTCGCCCTCCTCCACCCAGGTACTGGCTGACACCCTCGCCAACACCTCCCATCTGCCCACTGCTCTTCGTTCACTTATTCTGGCAATGCAAATTTGGTTTACAGTAATAATTATATATTGATCTGATCAATATAAATGATCTTAACGTTAGTTGTCCAGGGCAACAGGACATGATAACATAGTATTTCAAGAACATTTCCAGCACTCTTTTGGTCCAAAACTACGCTTTTAACTCATGGCGTTGCTAATGTTGGGCACTGTCAACGTCTCTTGGTGTTGGTAAGTTCTTGTTAATATCAACAACTCATTGGTTGCTATTTTCTTGGTAATATTGATGACAAGCTTCAGTAAGACAAGGAACGTGTTGGTGTGTGATGGAATAGTGGTTATGTGTCTCGGAGAGGCTGCAGGATCCGAGTAAGGTCAGTAGAACTTCCGGTTGCAATTCATTTAACCATGTCGTAGCTCAGTCGACTAAGGCAGCGTCTGGGATCCTCTCGAACGTAGGTTCGAACCCTCATCACTGCCCTTGTGTTCATTAACGGTTATATTGCAGGAGGAGCGAAGGTTGCCGACGTGAAGGACATCTCCAACCCTTGCGGCGGCACTGGAATGGGTCCATATGACTACAGCCAGGTAAGTCGATCTCTCTCTGCCATCTTAGCATCAGCTAAGGAGTCGTTTGGAAGGTGTGGTGAAATAGTTTCAGTTTAGCCCATTTGTAATTTGATTAACGTGTCCTCAATGTCATTCCCGCAGCCAAATACTTCATCGTTTCCACAACAAGCGCTGGATTACATAACTAGAGCCTCATAAGGCATCAGAACCCTTCTTGACGAGTATCAGAGCTCCTTCTCCACCGAGGGCACCAAAGTGAAAGAATATCTTGGGATAACCTCATGTGCTTCCCCTGAGGTCACCTGAGGTCACCATTACCTCCGTGATGGTGACCTCAGGTGCCTCCCATCTTCCTCCTCAGCTGCTGTGCATGTCGTTCGTGTTCTATGAGGCTCAGCGCTCAGGGAAGCTGCCGGGGAACCAGCGAGTCACCTGGAGAGGCGACTCAGCCCTCAATGACGGCTCTGACGTTGGCCACGACCTCACTGGCGGCTACTACGATGGTGAGAGAAAGAGAGAGAGAGAGAGAGAGAGAGAGAGAGAGAGAGAGAGAGAGAGAGAGAGAGAGAGAGAGAGAGAGAGAGAGAGAGAGAGAGAGAGAGAGAGAGAGAGAGAGAGAGAGAGACAGACAGACAGAGACAGAGAGACAGAAGAAATATTTATAATAACATTCTTGTTTGTAATTTATTTAAGTTACCCCTTAGAAAGACATTCCTGGCTCTTTATTTACTAGTATCAGCCTCAATAGTAAACATACTCATTACCACTACATCTCACAACATCATATCCAATACTTAAAACCGCGCTGTACTATTTCAAACAAATGTACACTCCTTAGCTAATTGCGCGCAAAAGCTATCTATTATGTTGACAAGCATCAAAATTCTATTTTCAGTAAATAACACAAACAGTCCTTCCACTCGCTAGGTAAATATTTTCCTTCTTAATGTAAATTTTGTCCTTGATCTCTGAAGCAAAACAGACTGACACAAAATATCACCTGTTAATCATTTCGCGGGTATTGACACGGTTGACTCTTCGTGTTTCAGCTGGAGACTTCGTGAAGTTCGGGTTCCCGCAGGCCTTCACCGCGACCTTGCTGGCTTGGGGGCTCATCGACTTCTCTTCTGGATACAACTCTGCCGGTAAGTGCTCCCTCGAACTTCAGTTAGAACCTCGTGTGTGTCACCTGAACTCTACAAGGTACCCAGTGTGTATGTCACCTGAATTCTACAAGATACCCAGTGTGTCTCCTCCATTCTAACTCATCTCTTTTTGTGTCATCTTGGAATCCTGAGTGTCAGCTGGGCCCTAGTTGGCCCCCCCCTAGTCTGCCACCAACAGACTAAAGGGTTCTCTGTGGAATCTGGAGGTTTTGGAATGCTGTCCTGACGTCCATCTGATCTTGAAAGGGTTAAGATTGTTAAAACAAAAATTCTGTTGAATCCAGTAAATCAGACAAGAAAATGAAAGTGACTCGTTACTCTAAGGTACGGTCAGGTAATTATGAGGAAGAAGTCGTGTGACTAGACAGCACTTGGAAAGGATATGAGAACAATGAATCTGGGATGGGGCGGAGGGAAAGAATGGTGCTCAAACACTTGTTATTCGAAGCGTAGTGTGTCGTCAATTTACAAGTTTCTGGCTATAGTGTGTCCTACAGGTGTGTGTTCCACTCTCACTCTTCACTTTCTGGCAACTTGTGTATGTGTTGGTGAAGGATGAGTATATGTCGGGGAAATATGGGTTTGTGTGGATGAAGGACTGTTCCATCTTCTCTTCCTTCTCCGTGTTTCATCTCTTCTCTTCTCATGTCTTGTGATTCGCCTCCTCATTATCTCCGCCCGTGTTCCTTCTTCTCGCATTCTGATTTTTCCGCCTTATTGTCCTCACTCATATTTTCATGCTCCTCATCCTTGAAAGTTCCTCCTCACACTCATGAGTCCCGTCTCCTCACAGGTCAGACAAACTATGGTAAAGACGCTGTCAAGTGGGCCACCGACTACTTCCTCAAGTGTCATACCGGTTACTACGAGCTGTACGGCCAGGTGAGTGTGTGTGTGTGTGTGTGTGTGTGTGTGTGTGTGTGTGTGTGTGTGTGTGTGTGTGTGTGTGTGTGTGCGTGTGTGTGTCCCCTTGAGAGCTGAGAGTGTGATAGAGGTCCTCCACACTCAGAAGAGGAGTGTGGAGGACCCAGAGTCTCGACCTGCAGCACATCACCTACTGTGTCTTGTCTCGCTCGAAAATACAACGGCGTGACAACACCCTGTTATTCTGCTCATGTAATCAGCTAACTCTTAGAATGCCCGAAGCTTCCTACCCACGTCAACCAACCATTAACCTCCAGAGAACCATTACAGTGTTATCCACATAATCAGGTCATTAACCCTGCGGTAACCGATGGTATGCTAACCACGTAGTAGATTCTTTAACTCGCCTACCCACGTCACGAAAGTTCAGCTATAAAACCGCAGGTATGGCATGGCTGGAAGTTACGGGCTGTTTGTACTCGTGCCACCTCTTGGGTGGCGTAGTCTTAATCTTTATCACTCTTCTAATCGGAGTCCTTGTTGGTCACCTCCTTCAGGTTGGAGATGGACACATCGACCACAACTACTGGGGCCGGCCCGAGGAGATGACCATGCAGCGACCCTCCTACAAGATCGACAGCAACAATCCCGGTAAGATGTAATATATATATATATATATATCAGACAACACTGATTCTTTGGGTAGGTTAATTTGGCCACAGATAAGTACAGAATGAATTTATATTTTAGTAACATGTAAAACTACTTCGGGTCTCTTTAGCTTCCTATTTCAGCCATCTTTTTTGTCCCGAATCTCCTCTCTCATTTGTCTCTAATCACTCTTTAACTCCCTTCCCACTGACTGCCCCCCTCATACTTCTTCCTCACAGGAAGTGAACTGGCCGCAGAGACCGCTGCCGCCCTGGCTGCCGCCTCCATTGTCTTCAAGGTAAACCTTTCCTCCTTTAACGTCTAATATAATGCATAAACCATCTCAAGATAGCCTGCTTTTCCTTTCGTCATTTGCCCTCTCCGTTAAACTACATTGTGTCATCAACAATTTCAGTGTTATTTAAACTTTGCTTCTGGATTAACTCCAGAATAATATGCCTTGCTGCGATTCCCTCCAAGGCAACGACTTTCCACTACAATAACTACCACCACAGTGCACAATGATACAATGCACCCTCCACTACAATATTCACCACCACAATCCATTATGCTACAACCACCCTCCGCTTTAATACCTTCCAACTCAGATCCCTTTACATAACGACTTTTCAATACAATATATCTTACCACAATATCTTCTGCCCAAAAAAAATACATCTCAAAGGGATAGAGTAGCTTAGGCTATTTCTACCCTCATCTACTTCAAATCCCTCAAGGGAGGCACAAATCCACTTGAGTACAAATCCACAAATCGCAGTACAAGAATTACATTTAACATTGCAGGTTAATATAGCAAACACAGCAGATAAGTGTTACACTCTTGGTCATGGCTGATGTCTCGTTTTACCATCCCGCCAGAGCGACGGTAGCTACTCCAACACCTTGCTGAGCTCGGCCAAGGAACTATACCAGTTCGCCGACGAGAAGCGCGGAAACTACGCCAATTCCATCCCTGTAGTAACCGACTTCTACAAGTAAGTAATGGGAAGACAATGAGTTACGGACTTTGTTAAAAATATTGAGGACAATGTAAAACTTGTCCGTTCAACGTGTCCGTCATTAATTTCGTTTCATTTATCATTGTTTTATTTAGTTGGTTACTGGCTTTGTGTTCTTCTCTGCTAACTTCCCTAGGTGATATTAAGTGACTGTAGATCATGAATTTCTTCATGGCGGTGTTCCTGAGCTGGTGTCACGCACTCTGTGTTCCAACAGCTCGTGGAACGGGTACGGAGATGAGTTGTTGTGGGCAGCGGCGTGGCTCTACAGGGCCACCGGAGATTCAAATTACCTCAATAAGGCTAAGCAGCACTGGAACGAATTTGGTCTCGGCAATCCCCCACAGCAGTTCTCCTGGGATTCCAAAGCTCCCGGAGCCTATGTGAGTGCTTTAAGCTGTGACTTATTAGTGTGAATGTGGTATTAAATTGTCATTATTACAGTTGTGTTTTTTATATTGTTTCAAAACAAAACAAAAATGTCAAGAACAGCCGTGTTTGCCTCCCAAGCCTCAATGGAAAAACCACAAAGGCTGATTCTAGTCCAAACCCTTTCACCCGTTACCACCTTCATTGACACCACTTTTCCCAGTCATCACCACCATCATCACCACACAGCTTCCACAGTAAGCTTCACCACTATCTCTCCTGACTCCACCCAGGCGGTGCTTGCCATGGCTGACGGCGACTCCATGTTCTCAAGTGCCCTCCAGACCTACATGAACAACATCAGGAACAGCGCGCCCTATACTCCGGCCGGCCTGGTGTACCTCGACGCCTGGGGCTCCAACCGACATGCCGCCAACGTCGCCTTTGTCGCCTTCATGGTAAAGTAGTCCTTCATGTTCGGCCGTGTTAGTGTGGCTGGCGAGCTTGGTCTGTCATGCAGTTTCATTTTGTGGGGCACAGTAAGATCTTTATATGTTTACTCTGGTTTAAAATATCTTGGCAACACTGGAAAAGTTCAAACACTATACTTGTGAACAACTGGAGGTGGTTTCCGCAGGCCGCCAAGCTGAACATCGACGCCAGCGCTAACCACGCTTGGGGCAAGAAACAGATCGACTACATGCTGGGTACCCCGCTCCACTCCTTCGTGGTGGGCTACGGCAACAACGCCCCTCAGCGCCCCCACCATGCCGCCGCGTAAGGCACTCTTCCTTCATACTCTATCAACTCGAATATTAAATATCAGACACGGAATACTTCACTTCTTGCGGGTCGGTGTTCAATCTCCGACCGTCCGAGCGGCTGGGCACTATCCCAAATCCTTACCGCTCACATTCCTTCCAAGTGCTGTACAGTCGTAATGGCATATCGCATTCTCGTGATAATTATCGTGTCTAACGGCGTCATCCTTGTTACAGGTCCTGTCCCGACGAGCCTCAGACCTGTGACCCTAACTGGGCCATGAACCAGGCAGGAGCCAACCCGCAGACACTCTGGGGCGCCCTTGTCGGCGGCCCTTCGCAGGTGAGGCCCTCGGGCTGGACATGTGTGTCCCTTTCGTTCTCACTCTCCCTCTTTCTCTCTTACACTGTTATTTTTTTCTTGTATATCTTGCAACCCAGATTGTTTTCAGTCTCACAATGACCTTTCATATAATTAACGAGCAGGTCGTGCCAGGCCCCACCCAGATACTAAGATTCCTGCTCATCTCCCCCACAGGACGACTCCTACTCCGACGACCGCGCTGACTACCAGCACAACGAGGTGGCTATCGACTACAACGCTGGCTTCACCGGCGCCCTCGCCGCCCTGGTGGAGAACCACTCCAAGTAGCTGCAACGTCGGTATTGCTAATTACCAGTAACAGCACCCGTGTTCCTGCTTCCACCTAGCGGGAAAGTTTATGTAACAAAGTTATCAATGTTACTACTTCCAATTCGCATCAACATACATTTCGGCAAATAAATTATCTTGTAAGTTTATTAACAAGACAAATAAAATAGCATTGACAAAATCTGGGTTGTTATTCCTTTCCGAGTGTTGATTTTCACCAGCCTTCGAGACTCGGGTCCAAAACATCGACCTCGCAGGTCCATGTCTTGGACCTGACTATAACAGCCCAGCAGACTGAGGCCAAGTATAGTGAGATATGCAGGCGATGAGTCACAATAACGTGGCTGAAGTATGTTGACCAGACCACACTAAAAAGTGAAGGGACGACGACGTTTCGGTCCGTCCTGGACCATTCTCAAGACGATTGTGAGATATAGTGAGATAGTTTTCAGGGGAATAATGCTATATTCTCTGATGTACGTATAGGCTCGATAACCCTGTTGATTAGGACCCCCAATAAGTACACGTCGCGCGGCCCCAGCATGTCTCGAAGATGGATGAAGTCATTGTACGTCACGAGTGAAAGTGGGTATGGGTTGTGGGTCTCGTCATCTTCTGCACTTAGAGTGATGTTATTGCTAAAAGTGTGTATAGTACTGAGCTTGTACCTCAGGTTCGAATCCTTGCAAGTTCATTGAGTGAACTTCCCGCCGACCAATGCCCAACCACTTGGGGTGGACGGTAGAGCGACGGTCTCGTTTTATGCAAGTCGGCGTTCAATCCCTGACCGTCCACGTGGTTGGGCACCATCCTTTTCCCCGTCCCATCCTAAATCCCTATCCTGATACCTTCCAAGTGCTATATAGTCGTAATGGCTTGGGCGCTTTCTCCTAATAGTCCCCCCATTTAATTGAGAGAACTACTGGAGACTGTAACTTAGGAACAATCCGGGTTTCTACACAAAGACAGCAGTGGGAGGCTAGACCCTCGGAGATAGTCTTACCTAAGTTGTAGGCATGAAACGCTACTTGTCACAGGACCCTTGGGGGTCGGCCCAGATGCCATGCTCTAATAAATATCGACATCTTGAGTGTCGATGTTGCGATTTTCATCCTTGTGATTTTCATGATGTCTGAAATAAAAATTAAGGGTGTGTATTCACCTAGATGTGCTTGAGCTCTGCTCTTTCGGCCCTCCTCTCTCTCAACTGTCAATCAATCAACTGTTACTAACTACTATTTTTTTTACACACACACACACACACACACACACACACACACACAAACACACACACACACACACACACACACACACACACACACACACCACACACACACACACACACACACCTAGAAAGCAGCCCGTAGCAGCTGTCTAACTCCCAAGTACCTATTTACTGCTAGGTAAGAGGTGCATCAGGGTTAAGGAAACTGTCCATCTGTCTCCGCCGGGTGCGGGGATCAAACCCCGGTCCCTAGGTTCTCGAGTCTAGAGCGCTGTCCACTCGGCCACCCTGCTTGCGTGCGTGTTTGTTGGTGTTGGCAGATAAGATATTTAAGGTATTATGAATATGTTATTATGTGTTACGTATAGAACGTTAAATTTCAAACAATTAAAAAGGTGAAGAGCACCAGATGTGAGGCTCTGGTCCTCTCTACTACCTGGAGAGGTTTAAGGAAGAATAAAACGTGAACGTTTACAGAACACAGCCGTGTTCTTCGAGAATGTTTTAGATTTGCATAAACATTACTTGGGACATGCTGATATTCAATGTATCAACTAGAGTTGTGCTGAAATAGTGACTATGTACACCGTTGGGACTGAAATAGTGGCGATGTACGCTGTTGGGACAGCCAAGTGGTCATCTTTTGTTATATAGCACTAGTAAAGGTGAATAAAGTAGTGATATGGTTTATCTGACTGGTGCCAGAGGTCACAGGACTTCTCCTAGCGCTGTAACGAGAGTATGTGCGTCAGTAATCACAGGGTGGAGCTCCTACTCCATTCTCAGAGGTACTCCACATTTGTTTTAAGCTAAGGAGCTCTCTGCAACGAAGGTGTGCGCTGACCACTGCACGCTCCCCACCCCCTCCTCCCAGTGCTCCCTCTCCCAGACACCCAAACATCCTGCACACATTGCTCACAAGGGTAATCTTCTAAATAGGTGGGCGTCTTCTCCTAGGCAACAAATTTGGCATGGGGTATCTCATATCAGATGGCCAAAAGCAACCTTCGCCCCTCCGCAGAGCCTGCTGGTCACAAGTGAAGACCACACTCCCACCCTTCCCGTAAATATCTCTCCATGCCTTGGCGTGGGCCTGGGATAGAGTGGGGGTGGCTGGGGTGAGGCTTCCCGTCGCTCGTGTTAGGGAAGGGAGTGAGAGTGCATGTCACTGTCTGAGTGATAACACCGACCTTAGCACCCACTCACAGGTCTGAGGGGTTTTCCAAGTGTGAACAGATGCAGCTGGCTCGACGGCTCTCGATGTTCAGAGCAACATTGTGCTCTGCAACGTTTACATTATCAGAAATTTATTTAATTCAATAAACGTATATTTTCCTGTGACGGGGCCTGTGGAATCCCACGATTTTTTTCACTTTGTCATAAAAATATATGTAACGATGTTAGCGCCGTCTGTTGACCGCACTTCACCCCATTTTCTGTTCCTTGGTGGAAGGCTGAGGTCGCAACCCGTCTTTTTAAAAATAATGTTGTTTTTCGCTCGTATGCGCTCTACGGTCAAAAATGGACGTAATTTGAAATGAAATCTGCTCACGAAAGTGATGTACTGTCCTGTTTTCTGTTTGAGTCCTCTGACTTACTCGGAAAGGTTAGGA